TCCCTCCCTCCCACGTGCGCGGATCCTTACTCTTGCACATCCTGATGGCCGAGGGAGCTCACTGTCTGCATCCGTCGCTGGACTTGGATACCGTTCGATGTAATGTAGTAATTCATGTTTTACTTGCTTATGATTGGTATATCTTGCTGTTAAAAGAACATATTAACACATGTAATTTAACATATCTGTTGTCAAGAACCTTTCAACATATCATAAGAAAATTGGTGAAGATACGGGGTATCGATAATACAATATTAGCTTCTATATCAGAGATGTATCTCTTTTGATGTGATCATCGGAGCATTGCGAATGTGGAGCGGAAGCCAACATCTGCAGCAAACCGCACTCTGTCCAAGCACATGAGAAGGAGAAACCCTCCCGGTTGCAGCAGGAAGGAAGACAACAAAGTGAATCAACGAGTGGACATGGGGCCCACCTGTAGCGCTGGGTCTCTACAGCGTCCCTCCTGCCTGAGAAGAGAGCAGAGCGAGAACACTGACCTGCCAGTTTTCGTCAGGCGACACGGGTCATGCCAAACGAGTGACGCATGGAGCCATGTCCAAGGACAACTGGTCGTGAGTGCCCTTGTGACCATGCGATGTTAGGGTGTGAAGGATTGAGCCCTCAAGCACATGTCGAAAGATGCCATGAGCAGGATGACGGAACTTTCTCGAGCAGAATCAACCAGATCCAGAAAGCGGCGGCACGTCTCAAATATCAGGCTTCGGTCAGTTTCATGTTGCCTCCTGCACGAGGCTGAAGACTAAGATGGTGACATACTGCAGCGTAGCATCGAAGCATCATCTTTTTTGGGGCACCTCTGTGGACCTCCTCAGAGCCGAGGCCCTGAAAGCTCCCGGTCCTGGCAAGTACATGGGCCACGAGGTGCGGGTGCGGAGTCAGCGCAGCGGGCAGTGGTGCTTCTTTCTGGTGGTCTCAGGACTGGAGGCTGAATGGTGGCAGCAGGTTTGCCAAGAAGGACCCTACACACTGGCACTCTCTCACCATCTTGGAGTCACTGCCGCGGCCCCTTGTGAAGAGGAGCGTGGGTACAAGCCGATGCACAAGAATCCAGATCCGACAACGTACGAGCGCAAGGCCTGCACAATCCTGCACGTCGACGAACATGTATGTGGAGCGATGCTGTCTCAGGACTTCTTTCAGTTCCCGAGCAACCGCGGCAAGGACCCGGAATCAAGATGTGTCATATCCAGCAGTATTGTTGGATGGTGGAGTTTCGACATCTAGCATCCATGAGCCGGCGTGGGAATGCCAGATCATCTCGAGGACTGTTTGTCTCAGAACCGCCGCGTAGTCTTTGGTCGAATGCCCAAAGGCGGACCGGTGCCAATAGTGCAAAGCATAGATCGCTGAGTCACTGCCATTGCGGAACCCTCGAGGGAACCGGCGGTCGTTCTTGGATGGGGCAACGCGCCATGGGAAGGAGGCGGAGCTTTCGCTTCCGTGTGCGGTGCGGTGCACAGGCTTTCAGAATTTTGAAAGCTCGTGATGGCAGGTGCCAGCGCCCGGACACTACACAAACAAGCAAGTGTGTTCTAACCGCCTCTCGCCTCCTAATTGACATGCAAGTTCTTGTGGCTGCATGCGAGCTGCTGACTCTGCAAACATCTGCACACACTGCCTGTGAATCCCGCTGTGCTGTTGTGCTCTTCACTCGCTGCGCAAAGGTCTGAATACCAATCCATGCGGTGTCACTAGCTGGAAAGTGGAAGAAGCCGCCGCTGGCAAAGTAGCACCCGACAAAACACTCGTCGAGGCCTCATTATGCAGATCATGAGGCACTGTAGAAAGGTGCCACCAGTACTGCTCTGCGGTGCTACTGCTTTAAAGCGCAAGCCCTTTGTGAAGTTGCCCATGTCCAAGGCACCCAACCACTACACCATCAACTACAACCAGGCAGGATCTAGTTCCAGTGGGCGAGAGGTAAACGCTGAAGCTGTCTGGGTTGCGCAGGTGACGGACAAGCAGGCAACCTATACCGTCCCTAAGGAAAAGGCCTCCAACTTCCTGGACAAGGTCACTTGAAGCACATCTTAAGTGAATTTCCAACGCTTGCCACGGCTCGCAGGTCGTGAAAGAGAAGTGGATCGATGTAAGGACAAAGAGAGCGGCTTGGTCTTAAGAAAGTCGGAATGTCACGAATGACGCTTGCTGGGTGTATGGTCTCCAAGGAAATGCCTGGTCCTGGCACCTACAAAACCTTTGACAGTGAAGCAATAGACAAGCACCGGCCTCGGTCGTATCCTTTGTACGCGGGTTTGTCATCAGCATCTCTTTTGATGTCATCAGGCTCTACGTTTGCATAGTCCGGCTTGGCTTGGCCACTGCCGGTCAATGTGGTAGTCGGCAACAATACAGTCCGTCAACCCACCTCGTGTGTGTGTGTGTGTCTGTTCGTTGGTTTGTTTGTTTGATCGTTGGTTCGTTCGTTTGTTTGCTTTTGCTCCCTGCACGTCCTGACAAACACAAAGCTTGTGCCTTGTGCTGCTCATTCTGCGACAATCTTTGCCTCGCTCCCCTTATCCATGTCGCTGTATGCTACTGTAAGGACGACGAGAGGAACGTATCAACTTCAACTTCGAACTCTGAGCCGATCGGCCACGAGCTTAAGTGTAAAAGGGTGGTGCCATGTGTTGTCTTCTGCTGTAGAGCCAGTGCACAGTGCCACTGGAGGCAACAACCGGCTACTTCTGAAAGCAAATTCAGCTTCGTCAATGCACCCCACACGCGTGCAAAGTACGCTGGGTGGTCTTTGGAGCAAGCAGCTGGGCGATCTTCGGGTCTTAGATGTTTTCTTTAGTCACACATTACCAGCGTCTGGATGCTTCATGAGTGCTTTCGCCACCTGCCCTCCAATTAGGTCTCAAGTTCGGTTTCACCCGGGTAGACATCATGATGAGTGCCATGGAAACAAGTACTCCCACAGGTTGCGCTGCGTACAGCATGGAGTTATAAGAAACCGAAGCGGGACAAGCAGAGACCGTTTAATGAAGGTTGCTCTGGCCTGTGCTTCTGCACGAGAAACCATAATCTTGCATGATTGGCTTGGTCCTACCATGCCTCCTTTAGGAAACTCACCCCAAACGATTAGGTGAAGCTGCACAGGTAAGCCGCGTCCGCCGGCAAGCCAGGGTTCCCTCAAAATCCAGGGGCCAAGGGGCGGGGGCACATCCTAGGTGGGGGTACTGGAGCTTGATCTGCCCTGCCTTGGGCATGGGGGCAGTGGCCTTGCCTTGCGCAGAAGTGGCAAGCCCCGGGATTGCTAGCTGAGATCTTTTGCAAGAAGACCTTTACCTCAAATCTGCCGGATTCGGCCATACCAGGATTTCTGCGAAAGTCTCGCTTCCTTTCCCATAGACTCTGCAGGTGCGGCAGCGTGAGAGCCGACAGATCAACACAAGCCGTGATCCAAGAGCAGAAGACTCTTGTCAGGTCGTCTCTGCATCGGCACACCTCAGCACATCGTTGCGTTGCTAGAGGTCTTTTGACGCTTGGACTGGTCATCAAGCGCCTCTCTTCTCAGGTTGGACTGCGCTGCATGTGCATGTGCACCTGTGATATTGGTGCGTCCAGGATCATGTGGGTATCGAGCCGAGCCCGGGTTCGCTTTTGTTTTTTCTTCTGCATGGCAAAGCGAGTCTGGCAGAGCCGCCGCGTTGTGGGTCTGAGGTCATATTCCATGCAGGACCAGGGGAAGTGAATTGATTGCCGCATCTGCCTTCACAGGCTCTCGGTCCTCAAGCTGTCAGGAACAGCAAGCTCACGCACCTGCTGTCCGACTCCTTGACCGGCAACTGCAGGAAGCTTCGCCTTACCAACATGTCTGCTGTTCGAACCCAAGAATGCCCAAGAAACAGGACCGTCATGGTGGCCTGCGTCTCTCCGGCTTCGTCGGTTGTGGCTTGTACCCCAAAACTCCTTGAATGCTGCCAGCGGCCGCCATAGAGCCTTTACCACTCGCAAGGCATGCTCGCAGCCACTCAGATATCGAACCGTTTCCGTCCAACCGAAGATTTTAGATCAATCCTCAAGGGGGGCATGCAGAGTCCAGAAACACATCCCGTGCCACATGGAAGACAGAAGTAGCCGCCGTAGCCGATCGCCGTGAATGGTGCCGGTGCAATGGATCCCGGATTTGTCGGAGGCCCTGCGGAGCAGCTGGTTACAGGGCGTCAAGGTTCGCCAAGCTATGGCTCCATAGATGATGGCGAACAGACGAACACCGATTCCAAAGACAGGTCTGAGTATTCCTTTGCTCCCTACATGGCCGAGTTCGTTGGGACCTGCATTCTAGTCTTCACTTTCGGATGCGTTGCCTTGTCGCCAGCACCATACTTGTACAAGCCAACAGCGGCGGCGTGTATTGTGACAGTCATGGTTTACTCCACTGCAACGGTCTCTGGAGGTCACCTGAATCCTGCGGTATCATTGACCCTATGTGCCCTGGGCTTGATACCCTGGCGAAGAATGCTAGGGTTCTGGTTGGTTCAGGTGGCAGCAGGAATGGCCGGAGCAACGGCTTTGCGAGCCCTCCTGGGCATGGACATGGCCCATACCCCTTGGCCTCCGGCTCCTGTTCCACCGAACTTGGGTGCTGCGGTCTTGGCCGAGCTACTTTACACGACTTTGCTGTGCTTTCTAGTCGGCTGCTGCTTGGTGTCCAAGCGGAACAATCCGGAGCGCGACCAGAGCCAGTCCTTCGGGCTTGCTATCGGTCTCCTCTACGTTGCAGGAGTTGCCATCCTAAGCATGATCTTTTGACACATGAAGCCTGCAGCGTTCATGGAATAACCGACATAACCTTCCAAGGTTTTGTACTTGCTACTGTAGCACATTGCATGGATGCGACGGTTCTTGCCTTCAGGGATTGTGTTATGTTGCTGTACTTTGTTGACTGAGGCGTGCATCTTGGCCCAAAAAAGCAAGCCAATGCGAGCCTTCGAAGTCTCCACGATGCGATCTTTTTCTGTAGAGAGCAGCCAGAGCCTGGCGCATAACCGGATTGACATTTTGAACCGCAGGTGGGCAGCAGCAATGCTGTGCCTGGGTTCTGTTTGTGGATTGACCTCCATAGCTCTCGCAACGCTGGCTGGGAATTTCAACTCCATCAGTGGATTTGAGATGAAATATGCCTGCTTTCCTCACAACGTGTGCCCGTCTGGACGCAGCTACCATGCTGAAACGGTCAGTGAGATGGTGTCGAAACCAGACTTTCCCGCGGCAAAGCTCTTCTTCAGCTTCACTTTGATCGGCTCGATTAGTTTACTTCTCTCTCGCTACCCTTGGGAGCTGAAAAATGTTTACACTGGTGGAAGTCCGATGCGGCGTCTGCTCACTGCGGCCCGGGCAGTGCTTCCCCCTTGTGGGATGCTTATCGTTGCCACCATCCCAGTGGTTCCCCGCGTTGCAAGACAAAGCACCGCCATCAAGCTGGCCTGCAGTGTGCACTCCTTCGGAGCCACGCTCTATGTTGCTGGCTACAACTTCATGGAAAGTTGCACTCTCTGGATACTATGGGACAGGCTGGAACGTTTGGAGCGCATTCTGCGCACCATCTGTGTGGTGTGTGGTGTTGTAACCACGATCAGTTTTTTCATGTGCGGCACAGTGTACTCGTATGCCTGTGAACTCGGCATTTGCTGTGTGGACAAATGGGAGAAGACTCTAACCGCGTTTGAGGAAAAATACCACATGGGCAATGAGTCTGCCGCAGACCAGGTTGTGGATCTTCTGATTCCAAAAGTCTACGGACCTTTCGTCTTGGTTGACTCAGCTTCGGGTCCCGCGCTGCTTATCAAAAAGTTTGAGTTCTGGCTGGAAGAGTTTGCTGGCATTTTCGTCGTTGTAAGCCACTTGCTGATCTGGAAGTTCAGCAAAGTGCAGCATTTGGAAGTCCCGGAGTTGCTGGATATTCACAGTGGGCCTGAGGTGCCGAGCACCCGCGAAATACGCGTAGCGCAAACGTACTGAGCAACTCTTATCCGCCTTCTGGATTCCACCCGTCCGGTGCAGAAGAGGTATCCCAGTTTCATGAAGTGCAATTGTAGCGCAGGAGGCCACAAGCTCGCCAAAGTGTAGCGAGTTCGGTCACAGTGACGAGGAAGCGCCTTAAAGTCAGCTGCTGGCCAAAATCTAGAAAGTGGCATATAGCTGTTACGCTATACCTGGGACTGCTTCATACCTCTGTGAGAGCATTAACATCGATCGCAGGAGGACATGCCCTGGCACCCATATCAGGCAAAGCTGGGGCACGATGTAGGGAGCACGGGAACGGCAGTTCGGTCCGATTGCTCCGGACAAGGAGTCGACTGTCACTCTTGGCTTGTCCGCTGAAATGCGAAAGGTGGAGCCATTCTAAACCCGGCCATAGCGCTGGGCCTGCCCTTCATCAGTCACGGTTCGACCGTGATGTGCCTTTCCTTGATGTAGCTAAAGGCCTCCGCCTCTAGATCACCTGTGTCATAGTTCAGAGGTTTGGCATTGCCTACGTCGTGGCGGAGCTGCTTGGAGCCTTCATCGGCGTGCGCCTCTTTGAAATCCTGAGGGCCGGTTCCGAGGACTCCGATCAGCAGCCATTTTCCGAATGTGAAGCCAGAAACCAAATAAGTCGAAGGCCGCTCTTTTCCCAGGATTGTTGCTGCGACATCGAAGAGTACTTGGAAATGTGCGTGCCGCGGCTGTCAGCCCGACTCCTCGGTGAAGGGTGTCTTGGCCTTGAAAGCCTTTCAATCCTGTCTACACCCTCGTGTAGCTCTTGTGCCTCTTCCTTTCTCGGCCGCTTGTTGTTTGCATTGCCGCAGATCTTCGTCCTTACCGCAAGGTTGGGCACCTTTGCTCTTGCCACTCCCTCGGCGGGACATGGACTGCGGCTGACGTTCCTTTTTGTGGCTGTTTCCAAGGTCTTCACCTTCGGGCTGAACGTAATCGGTCAATCGGAGGCTCGCGGACATTTCATCTCGAAGACACGTGGCCTGACATTGACGAAGGCAACAGCCTGGTCAGCAGCAGCTGCTCTGATAAGCATGATCTACGCTCTGGGTGCTCCGTCTTGATGAGCAATGAGCTCTTGTCGAGCAGGCAGAAATCTGAGCTGCTCGCCTCTCAGGAAAGATTTCAGGGGGATACTTCAACCCTGCGGTGACTCTGGCAGTGGTCTTGAGCGGACGTGGCTTGGCAACCAACCCCGCATCTCATCCAGAGTTTGGCTTTACTTTTGCTCGAGCAGCATACTTTCTGTCCGAGGCAGCAAATGTTCTGTCGGCGATGGAATCGCTTACTGCGGAGCTCAGGCAAACCTTCAGGGTTGATTCGCACAGATGTCTTCTTGCCTCGCGAGAGGCTGTTGGTGCCATCGCAGCGGGTGTCATAGTTGCAGCACCTTGGCCTCGTGCAGTGGGAGACGAAAACCAGCACTGTGCAGTTGGAGCTGCTTCCGTTTGCTTCCTAGGAGTACCGATTTGCAGCGCCAACGGCCTGGCGACCCGTGACATTGCCTTCTTGGCTTCAGCCTCAGTGCTACGAAAAAAGAAGCGAGATACCGTGGCATGTCTACTCTAAGGCAGGAGTATGGGGTGGCCACAGCCTGCTTCCCAGCATTCCACCGCAACGTTTAGCGTCAAGCCAAAGTTTTCCGGCGCACAGGTTGGCATCGCAGAAGGTGTTTTCACGCTTGTGACGCCTGCCTGCATAGACTGGCATTGACGGCTCGGCTGGTAGAAGAACTGCATCGAAGCTTTGTGGCACCCATGGCAGAAGTTTGGCCGTTTGGCATGCGAGCCGAGGTTAGCCTATGTTGTCCTCGCGTGCTCCACGGTGACCGTGCTCCCTGCCGGTAAGACGCGACAGAACTTCTACTTTGGCCTGGCGGTGGGTTTCTGTGTCATGACCGGCGGGTGTACCCTTGGCTCCATGTCCGGTGGGATGCTGAATCCGGCTGTCTCTGCGGGGGCCTCTGGACTCTGGACCAGCTGAACTTTGCACATCTAAAACACTCCTTGCCGAGGTTGGAGTCGTCACGCTCAACTTGTTCCAAGAGCAGAGCGCACAGGCGAGCTTCGTGACTGTGACTGTGAGCGTCGTTTTTTCTTTTCTCAGCTAGCCCAAAATGCAAACGGAGAGGTCTCACATTCACAGGACTCATGCAAAGATGTTCCTGATGTGCAGTCGACGGTGGTTGCTAGAATTGAAGCCTCCAAGGCTCTAACGCTTGGCGATGCGTTCAGCGTGGCACTGCTTAAGTCAGCTTCTGCAGAGCGTATGCCCTTGCAGGCGCGGCACTTGCTCCTGGCTTTCTGCCTCAAGCTCACTGCGTTTCAGTGTACAGGAGGCCGGGTTGAGTGACACAACTTACTTAATTAGATGAGATGCATTCACCAAGAAGTGACCTGGCATGTTTTTGAACATGTTGAACGGGTGTACTTGAGTACGCAGTCTCTGATGATCTCTGATGGAATGTATCCTATCAGAAATGGCTTGTCTGTTTTACAGTGCATGGCGCGCCAGTGCGGACTTTTCATATGGTATTCACGAGCTACTCTGCCCATGACTTCAGCAGCTCCAGGGTGATCCAAGTGCTTTGAACTGAGGCCTGCTTGCAGCGGTGGTCTTCCGCCTCACCCACCCGAGCGAATACAGCAAGGACAGGCTGACATGGCCCAAAAGCCCAGGGAATCTCCATGCCTGTTTGCTATTCTGCTATACACGTTCGCCAGCGTTTCGCTACTGCCAGCGTTTGGAGAGAGGGCCTTCAGAACAGAGAAGCGTGAGTTCACAGGGTTTTGTCAATCGAACGGCCGTGACCCTTACTTCGTCCAGCAAATGGCGGTGCGCTCGCTGAGAGAGCAACGAAAATGCTTGCAAGGCTAAAGCGAAAGATTAGAGCGAAAGAGAAGACATGCATGACATGCTAGCCGCCCTCCTGAACCACGCTCTGCAGGCACCACTTCTGATGCACTGAAGGACCAGTGCAGAGTAGGTCTGGAGGTCTCACAGCCAGTTGATGAATATTGCAGACCTCACAGCTTCGCAGCAAAAGATGCCCCTTGCAATTTCGATCTGCAGTTGTGCACACGAGTCGTGAGCACAAATGTACATGGAACAAGATTAAGCTGGAGTTTTGTTTCGTGATCAAGTCCCGAGGCCTCGACAGTGCCTTGGCAGAAGTGCGCGGAATGTGGGTGCAGCACTGTTGATGATACTCGTAGATTCCGAGGAGTCTGCACTGCGTTTTGCCTCGACGTGTCGACGAGCCGACACCACAGACGCAATTCCACCTTCGACTAAACTATTCCTCACCTTGACCGCCCGAGGTCTTCACGCATCCTGCGAGAAATGAGGCATCAGAGCCGGTTGGATTGCATGCTGTATCCGAGATGCACATGTTGGAAGGCTTCGCTCCTTGCCGCACTGTTGGTATGGAAGTCAAGAGAGTTGCACTCCAACACTCAAGTTTTTGCTGCCTCCCGGAAGCTGTGTATGGCCTTGTTACTGCATACCGAAAGCTATTGTATTGGATTCTATCCTCACGCGTGACAGGAAAGCAAGGACGAGATGGCAACAGCACTCCGCACAGAGCTGGATGAGCCGCGGCCTCAGACCCACTACAACCCAGCCGCCTCGTGTTGCATCCTTGGTACAAGGCTTGGGAGAGAACTGGGAGCTGCCCAAACTGCGGAAGGGAGGCTCAATGTCTCTTTGTCGAGCTCAACAGCTACATTCGTCTTTGCGACAAGCAAGTGTGTTTAACATTGATGCCCAGAGTCACCCCGACAGACAAAACGGTCGCTGCCCTGCGAGTGCGATCCGTGCCGGGAATTTGCTGAGCGAGTCGGTGCACGCGAGTTGGAAAAGGGGCTGGCCAAGTCCAACAGTGCCGGGAACCGAGCCGGAAAAAGGTTTAGGGCTTGGGTTTGGGGCGCATTGGGATTTCCGACTCGGCCTCTTCCCCCCTTTCCCCTTCTTCGGACTCGACTCAAGCCTTTTCTGACTCGGGTTCCAGACTCCGTCCGCACCCGACCCGTGCACGTGGCAAAAACACAGCATGCGGAAAGAGGGATACATGGGTCGTGTGGGCCTCGGCAAGTTACCCCTCCCTCCCGATTTGGTATTGTGCCGAGTTCTCCGCACAGAATGTGACTCACAGAATCCCAGCACGGGTGCGCCCTGCTCTGCTTAGTTCATTTCTAATGTATCAGGCCAGCCGTGGCAGTTTGAAGGTTCCTGCCCTACAGCAGAAGGGCTGGGAAGCCAGAGCGGGTTCAGCGTTTGGCTTAGGGCGGGCTGGGAGTTCCCGGAGGCTGCAAACTTAAGATTGCATCTTGAGGGCTCGACGAATTTCCCAGACACTGGTTCTGCGGCTCCCAGTCCAGGGTTTAATCGGATGGTTCGCAAACCGATTCTTCAACCGGAACTGTATTGTCCGAGGTTCCCTTAGGACCGCGACCACGACGACACCAAGCAAACTGCTGAAGACGAGTGCGGGCAAGGGTGCGGGTCGTGTGGAAATGAGGAGGAGGTGGAGGAGGAGGGGAAGGCGGAGCAAAAGCAGAGGCTGGGGGTGGCGGTGGTGGGCGAAGCAGTAGGAGCGGAGGCTAGGCTGAGGATGAATATGACGATCATTTGGATCAGATGGGATGATGATGATGCAATGATGTTGATAATGTTGATGAGGATGATGAGGAGGAGCAGGAGGAGGAGGAGGAGGACATACGCTGATGCAGGACAATGACGATGATGGTGGGGGGGTTGATGGCGATGCTGACCGTTGTGAGTGTGGATTGAAGATTGTTTGATGCTGGTGCTTTGCCAGTGCTTGAAAGACGGGGGCGGCTTCAACGCAAAAGGATGCTCCGTGAGTAGCAGGCGCGACCTGGCGGAGCGCTTCGCAACGGCACAGCTGCTCGTGGACCAGTACACGCAAAGCGATAGCCTTAGAGTCCCTCAGAGGCTTGTCCAAGCCTCTGCCGATCTCTGCTGCCTGCTGCCTCTGCCGAAAGCACCTCGGAGGTTGGGAAGAGCAGGAGGCGAGCTCAAAGGCACTCGACTTTGAGCGACGCCAGCTCCTTTCCAGCACCCCCCTCAGTTCAACGAGCAAGGGACCGGGCCCCTTGCAGACAGAAGTCGTGTTTTCCGAGCAGTCAGGCCTGGGCCTGGCCTTGAAAGGAGCCCAGAGGGAGAGCAAGAGCATTTTCGGGGTGGCTTGTTTTCTTTTTGGGGTTTTCGCAAGGACCAGGAGCGAAGGCCTCTGCGAAGCCGAAGCAGCGCCCGACGACACACAGAGGCCGGAGACAATGCCAAATGCTGGGCCTGCCTTCCTAGACAAGTTCACTGGTTGCCCAGGTGTGCAGACACCTCTGTCTAGGCAGTCGGCAGGCGTGATGGGATAGCATCGGTAGAACCTGTGTGTCCAAGGGCATGCTAGCACGGAGAAGTCTGGAAGGAGAGCGGTTTGTTCCAGCATGGGCCAGATATGCTCTTTGACTCGCCTCTGTCGCACCCTGTTGGTCCAAGAGTCTCAGCACTGGAGCGAGTCTTTCCGGACGCCGCCTCGCACTGAAGTGCCTCAGCTGACATCTGCTCAAATTCCTTGAGCCCTGGGCTCTTCATGGGCTTAGGATATCTCAGGATGCCGGAGTACGAGCTCTTTTACTGGCCCATCACCGGTCTGGGTGAGCCGATCAGGTGCCAACACATGCGCAAGGTGTGTCGGCTCGAGACTCTGGTGCGAGGCTGACTTTCATCATCGGTGGAATTCCCTTCAAGGACCGAACCGGCCTTTGAGCTTACTGCAGCTTCAGTTGGGTGTTAGGGACGGTGTTTAGGACACTACGCCGAAGACTGACGAGAAGTTCAACGACAGGAAGGTGGCATTGCACCCGCCGCTCGGCTTTGGCCAGTCCGTTCTAGCAGGAATTGACAAGAAGATCAAGAAGCGACATGCTCCTCGAAGATGCTGAGCGCTGGCTATCCTTCTCAGGTATGCGCCTGATGCCACCGGCCTGCCGATCTTGACCATCGCTCTTTGGATTGACATTGGTGGAGTTTGGGTTGGAGGATCGCAGTGCTCAGGACGGCAAAGCGTATGCTCAAAGCCGCGCCATTCTGCGCTACGTCGGCCGCATTGCCACATGGCCCGGACACGCTGCATACCTCTCAACTCTGCCGGTGCTGCGCCAGCTGAAGTTAGGCAAGGCAAGATGCAAGCCGGCAGGAGTGAGACTGCTCCGTGCGAAGATGTTCGATTCAAGATCAGAGACTCCTTGCAAATGAGGCGCAGTACGAGGGCGCGGCTCTGTATCCCACAGATCCGATGGTTCCTTGACTTCACTGCCTGAACAGGCTGCGCAGCCATAGCCTCTGCCGTGCTTGTTTTGCTGCTGGCTTCGGCCGGGCGACCATCTTTGTAGTCTCAGTACTCAGCGACAGCATAGCAAACATCCCATGAACCGGTCATCCAGACAAGTAGTAAGTAGGACTTGCAAAAGCGAGGCAAGCTTCAAGCAAGCAGCTCCCAAGCGATCCTGGTGCAACAGCCCGTCTGCCACAAGTTGAGCACAAGGAACAGTTGGAGTGCGATGACTACATCGAGCTGGGAGAGGAGAGGTCTGACCCGCCACGAAAGCTCGGAAGCCTTCCCTGCCAAGAAAGCACAGCGGAAAAGCAGGACCTGCGGATGCCTATCCTTTCAACCTTCCGCGTCGAAGACCAGAAGGAGAAGGAGGCATGGAATTTGCGAGGGTGCGACGCGCTACTGGAAGTCATGTCATGTCATGTCAATGTGGCATCAAAGACACCTTGAGATCAGCCCTGGCCTTTCGGAGGCCGCGCGTGCGGCTCTGGTTGGGCCAGAGGGAGGTGTGACCAAGTTCTTGAAGGCCAGCAGTGCTTCAGACCTTTGGTGCTCTCGTGTTCGATTGCTGATTGCAGAGTCTTAGGTGCTCGACAAGAAGCTGGGAGCAGCTTGTTGTCTTATGCATGGTTTCGCGAGCTCTGCCTTGACCAATGCAGCGTTGGCTCCAGAATGACTGCACGTTCAGGACAATTTTCCGACGAAGCTGAACATCGGATGATTCCTGGCTCATCTTTGGCGCACGAGGGATGCCAAATCTGATTTGTCGCTGTGCTGGATCTTGTAAACTCGTGCAGTCGCTGCCTTCGTTCCGAGGCATTTACGTCTGGTGTATTACGACCATCTTTCGGCAACCTACTTTCCTGGATGGCATTCCGGCGGATGCTCTTGCTCCGTATGCGAATATCACCAAACTGCATCAGAAGTTCAGCTGCACTCAGCTTCTTCATTTGGAACTGGCATCGATTGCAGAGAAGTGTTGCGGGGTGGCGAGGGCGTGGATGCTGGCGCAGCTGCCAAGAGCCTGCCCTGAAGGTGGATCTCCAGCATCCCGCCTGTCAAGGCGCATTACGAGAAGGCGGAGGGCCGAAGCTTGGCATGCAGACCCATCTCTGGTGAAAAGACGAGGTCTTTTGATGTCTCTGTTGCTTTGCTTCTCTAAGGTGACAGCATGAAGCCCCTGTGATCGATTGAAGCGACACCCTTCTTGTCATAGCTGATGGCTGCAGCCGATTTGCGCATCTCGCCGGTTGTTGGCGCAGTTGCGACTGAATTCGACTAGCGGCCTTCCTGCTGAACAAGTCGAGAAAAAACCCAGGCTCCTCGGTTTCTTGGTGCTCAACTGCCGCGGAGAAAAACCGGAAGCGCCCTCTGAAGTATCATCCGGAAGCCTGCACTTCGGAGTTCTGGCGCGGCAGCGCCCAGTCTTGTTTACGACGTCGCATGCAGCTTGTTGCCAGGGGGGATGGCGCTCGAGGACTGCCTCGGTTCGTCTTACGGTCAGTGTCGCGGTGCTTTCCATGCTGTGGTCGGTGCATAGCACCCGCGCAGGGATGCTAGGCTAAAGCTTTGCGCTGGAACGGCCACTAGAATCCTTCGGGCTGAGATTTGAGTGCTCAGCTTCTTTGAATGGCCAATTGAGGAGCCTTGCCTGATCAATGTGTGCGATGATCCGCTTCTATCAGGTGCCTGATCCGGTGTTGGCCGATGAATACAGACATGCCGTAGACGAGACTGAGCGAGCAAATGCCCCTTGGGTCTCCAACTGTGCGGCCCTCTTCGCATGATAGGTTGTGGTTGCACAGGATCGCGCGGGACTCCGAACATGACACGACATGGTCGACATGCTTCGAAAATGAGTCGAAATGAATACGGAAAGGAGCCGGCACATGAATCCGGAAGTAATGTACATCGCAAGAAAATCATTCTTAGATATCGAAACTTCATCGAAACTTCAACGACTGCTGCAACGGCTTGTAGCGAGCAGATATTTGAGGGAGAGTCACAACGGTGTGAATGGTGAATTGCAGAAAGGCACCGGGGTGCAGAATGATCACACCCCTTGCAAGGTCTAACAAGGTTTAACACACTTTAACAGTGTCAATACAGGTCGGTCTTCGTGGCCTCCACAACCGGGCCTCGAAAGGCCAAGCCATGCCCAGCCCTTCAAGATTCCCTGCAATTGGATTAGCAGACCAGAAAGCCAGCCTTTGCCACGCGGATTCTGGACCGTCGTGGGTAAGAACCGATCCGAGTTCATGTGTAACGGAGTTGGGCTCAAGTCGTTCACCCCTTGGAGTCCGAATAGAAGAATGGCAGTTTGCCTGAAGGAGCTGAAACTTATCCCAATGGAGTACAACTTGCTAGCATCCGCCACTCCTTAAAGAAGTTCCTTCAAGTGACGGTCAGAGGAGGCAAGAAGCAAAGTGTCGTCTGCATGTACAAAATGCCAGCCAAATCATCCCGATGATACATATCCAGAGACGAGACCTCCAATTTAGCAACAGCATCGTGCATGAGGACAGTCATCGCCATGACGAGCAGTAGCTGGCTCGGCATACACCGTGTGAAATGTCAGAGTTCTGAAATTTCCTGTGCATGGAACGCACAGGAGTGCATCATGTCACCAACCAGTTGCGTCGCCAGTGCTTTGAAGATTGCAATATGTACGCATGCCGTCTCCAGTGGCCTTACCAGAAGTTTAGTGGCTCTTCGAAGCTCCGCCAAATTGAAGTCGCGTGCGCTCGGTGCGAGCGGATGTACAACCGGGTTCACACCTTCTGCTTTCTTTGTTTGTCTCTTGTGTTTGGCTCTGGGTTCTCGTGGCTGTCAAGACTTCTGGCTCGTTGCTCTACGCCTTAGCCACGGCTCTGTCCCGGGTTTGTTGTAGTATGTGTCAAAATTCCTTGCACCGTCGCAAACATGCCTGGTCCGATTCAAGATCACATGCGTGCCCTAGCTCAGATTGGGGCCACGGCTAGCAGTCCGGGAGCGCCAGTAAACGTAGACGAGCCACAGCAACAATGCGCCCAGAAAAGCCCAGCCAACCACTTCAGTTCAGAACAGTCGCTCCAGTCTTCGTCTTTGGGCTAACCCTCGTTCCTTAGTATTTTCATGTTTTTTTGGGCTCTACTTAGAGCTGTCCCGTTCGTTCTAGTCCGTCACAGCATTTGCTGTCCGTCCCGTTGCTTTTGCGGCACGTGTCCCCCTACCCTCAGGTGCCCTCAGGTCTCAAGGCACCGTCTCAGGCATTCCTTCACTTCCTCTCCATTGTTGGTTGTTGACTCTTCGACTGGAGTTCGGCTACGCCATAGGGAGTGGTACTTGTAGATATGGATTCAGACCTGGTAAAACGAAGAAACTTTCGACTGCGGTTTGACTAGACCAGGTGTTACCATAGCCCGGACCACACTGTTGCGCCGCGGTGCAGCCTGATCACACAAGCTTCGGCGGGTTCTGCAGGCTGCTTGCGATACATGCTCCCTGCAAATCAAACGGTCCAACCGCCTCGTTTGGTTCAGTCTCGGAGTCTGAGCCTAAAGGCAGTTCGGAGGAGTGTGCATCTTTGGCTCAGGTTAGCATTGGCAGCAGCACGTGTGGACTCCAAGACTCCGAGAGCTGGGCACAGCTTGTGATGTCAAATTGGCTACTCCAAGGTCCTGCCAAGTGCGACTGGACGGACTTGGTATTCGGGAGGCAGATCTGTGAATGCACTTCCGTTTACGTTGCCGGACATCCCTCCTCCAAAGTCTGGTGCGACCCAAAATTGGGTGCTCGATGGACAGCAAGTAGCTCCGAGTGGTGCTGTTTCCAGTGCTGTATGCAAGTTACACATGCAGAGAAAGTTGACTTCGACCATGATCTCTGTGCAGTGATGTTTTGCAGGCGATGTGTCAAGTTTCGTGGCAGCCTGGGTGCGATGTGGAGGTTCAGGCCGCGAGGAAGATTCTGCAGTGGCAAGCACACCGGGATCTGCTCAGACGCAGGTGAACGCCGATGACTTTGCCACATTTGAGAGGCAAAACCCATGCCGCGCACGCCACGGCTACGGCTGCTTGTCGGGTGCTAGCCCGAGCGCAGGCAAGGATCCCTCTACAAGGGCGGAGCACCAAAGGCGAGATGACGACTGCGGAGCAGAGCAGAGTCTGGAAAAGATGCAGCCGCTGAGCAGGTCTCCATCAACAACCGGCGAGTCAAAGACGCTGCGACGCTCCAGCGACTTGCCACCAAAAGGATCCTTTTTTGAGCCTGTCGCGCACACTCCAAGCTGCGCGTCAGGCCTGGGGACGTGTTGCAGGTTGGACATGGACATGTGCCACTGCCCTGGCATCCCATGAAGGACTAGACTCTATTTGTAGGCATGTTGCCGTCTTCTTGAGGTTTCGACTTTACGGCCCAGCGACAAGGTCCCTTTGGCTGAAGCCAAAGGATGCTTCTTGCTTTGCTTTCTGAATCACTGCAGCGCCTGGCAGGCAGAACCGCCCACTGCGGAGGTCCAACAGCAAGACAGGAAGCGTCCTCAGTCCTCGACCTCAAATCCCATAGAGCAACGGCCAGTAGCAAACGTAAAAGTGAGAGGCCTGCGACCGAAGAGGCCGCCCGGAGTGCCGGAGTCCCTGGTCGAGGACCTGGAGGCGGAAAGAAGCGAAGTTGGAGCTCAGACGCCTTCGCTGCTCCCGCTGCTAGAGCCTGCCATCAAGCAAAACTCTCTTTCCGCCTCGAGGCAGAGCTCGGGCTCGAGCGCGCCTCGGCCGTCGCCCCTCGGCGCGTTTTCCGCTTCTCCGGACCACGAAAAAGAGATCGCCCTCTCAGAGTTTTAAAGAATTCAGGTGGCCTTCCTCCAGGCCAGGCACCTAAGGGGCGTCACGGGTCTCTCCGGGATGTGCTTGCGCACTCGGCCGAGGAGCTCCAGCCTCTGTTGGAGGAGGCCGCGGACCTGACGCAGGAGCTTCGGGGCAAGCGCCTAGTCCTTCCCTTGGCTTCTTCGGCTCTTCCGGTTGCGGCTCGGCAGCGATCACCGGAGGTCTTTCAGGCAGAAGTTCTACGGGATGGACTTGAAGCATCCGCTCGCTCAAGCAGGCAGGGGTCTGTTATGGGTGCAGCTTGCAACATCCGCTGCATGTCGCGGCAGTGAAAGGCCTGACCAAGAGGTTGTCATCGCTTTGCGTGAAGGCAGGACAGACAGGAAAGGCTCTCTGACAGCTCCGTGGGCACACTGACGAGAGAAGGCGTGGACACGTCCGAGAAGGGCCCCACAGGCTTGACATCCTTGCGACGGTCACGGGGGGTTCCTGATGTGATCCAGTCGTAGAGAGACGAAGCGGAGGCGACGTGGATGGAGCCCTCCTGTCGGCCTACCGCCCAGAGGGAAATCTGCCGGACTAAAATCACATTGCTGGGCTCTTCGGTCCTGCAGGTCTGGTCTGTCGAGAAGTTACATCAAAGGCTCGAGGCCGTGAGATGCGGGTCGTGAGCCTGATGACAGCTGATAGACGTGCCGGTGTGTTTTGACTGCTCAGAAGCTGCAGCATGGTCGTCAGCGTACCTTGCTTTCCGCTTTTGGCTCTCTGTCGTGCTATCGTGCTTGCGATGGTAGCATTCTGAAAAATGCTGACCCCCTCTCACCCGGACCACGACGACATGGCCCAGGCCGCAAATGGGCACTGCATTCCTGATACCTCACGAAGTTTTACCTTTCCAGCTGCTTCTCACCCACGACGCAGACATAGTAGAGACACGAAGTCAGCATCGCGCGATATCGCGCAAGCGCACTTCCACAATAAGTCCCGAATCGAATCACACAGCCCCCCACCTTTGAATACCCTCAAGTTCCCGTCAGCTCGAAGCCGAAAGCTTCTGCGTCATGGCTGCCGGTGGTTCGCCAGGGAGCGTCAGCTTGCCCGGTCAAGGATCCCATGCTGAAGAGCCGGTAAGCGAGAGCCGCTTTGTCGCTCCTTTAGCGCGGCGAGGGGTCAGCTCGGCGGGGGAGCGGGCTGCCGCTGCGGATGCCTCTGCGGCTGCGGGGCCTTCCACACCGACGCCGGGCTCGGGCCCGGGCCCGGCTGCCGCATCCGCGGCATCTGCCGCGGGCAGCGTTCCTGGCAGTCCCTGGCAGTACCAGCTGAATCCGCGGGTGCGGGGCCGCGGCCTGGAGGCGAGCCCGAGCCCCGCGCTCGGCGTCCGGGCGCTCAGTGGCACGCGGACTGTCGTGAACGCTGCAGCGCGAGCCTCCTACGAGAGCGCTGTCCTCGCCGCTGTGCGAAGGCAGATCGAAGCCTTCGAAGAGAAGGTGGAGAATCAGATCAGCAAACTGCAAGTTCAAGGGGACAAGAGCAAGGACACAAGTCTAAGCAGACTGGAAGAGAAAGTCTCAGCAGCAGAAGGTCTCCAACCAAGGGTTGAAAGGAGGCTTGCAGAGCTCAGCGGCAACTTCAAGGGATTATCGGACGAGATGCAGGCACAGATCCGGCGAGTGGATCTGCTCGACGATCGGCGGTGGGAGTGGAGGCACCAGGTGGAGGAGGAAATGCAAAAGAAGTGCCAAGGCGGATTCCGACAAAGTGCTGTGCAGCCGCGTGTAGCCGTGTCAGAAGCCGCAGCGAGAAGTGCTGTGCTGTGTTGCTGCAGGCTACGAGCAGCAGGTACAGGCCCTGGCTTCCAAGCTGCGCAGCCACCTCGCGGTGGAGGATGCTTTGGGATGGGGTTCAGAATAGCTTTGACGGTGAGTCCAGGCAGTAGTCTGTCCAAGGACACGCTCAAGCAGCACCACCAGCGTTTGCAGAGGCCCTTCCAATTAAGTCGAGGGCAAGGGTGGGGACAGGGCGAAGAAATCGGCACAACGATAGAAGGAGATGTCCGGAAAGCATCACAAAAACGGATGTCAGCAGCAGCATTGTCATCGTTGGTAAAACAGATATCATCGTTGACGTTCACATCGCACACATGCTGAAGCCACTAGCAAACAACCGAGAGGGTTAGGATTTTTTCAGGGTCCCAGTCTAGGCGGTTAACGCCATGGACAACATCAATTAGGCCAAATCCGGTAGATAACATCACGCGACCTCCCGGACGTTCCCGGACCCCGTGTGCACCGAGAGAGTTTGCTTGTGTAGGGTTTAGGCCCTGAGCGGCATCGACAACATCAATGTCAACTAGAGTACTGGTACTGAGGATAACAGTTCAAACATAGAGTAAGAAGAGCACCAACATGTACCAATATCAAACGACATCAACACCAACATTGTACCAGTGGAGAACGACCACCACAACGACGAGGACGACCAGGACGACCACGAACATCAGGAGACCACGAGGAGGCCAGCAGGAGACCGAGCCCACCAGTAGACCACCAGGAGACCGCAAGGTTTTCCCATGTACTGGCGAGATTCAGAAGTGCTTCCCTCAAGCCCAAGTACTGGGGCAATTCAGCCAGGGGCACATGCTTTTCCCCAAGCACCGGCGGGATTTAGAGTTTGCTAGACCTACCGGTGACCCATGTGTTGGATTTTGCGTTGAATCGGACTCACCGGTGAACCGTCTAAAGAATAGGACGCGAGTGCAAAAAGCGTACCACGCCACAGAGCGCACCACGCCACAGCCATGCGGCTATCCTGACCAATTCCCGTTACTACAAACCTTAGATTCCCGCGGTCTGGACCACGGTGGGATTAACAAAAAACGAGGAAGAGGAAGTCGAGGAGGACGAGGAGGAGGACAATCACGACCATAACAACGACAACAGCCGAAACAACAACAGCAACAGCAGCAGCAGCAACAGCAGGAAAAGCAGCAACGATGACAACAACAACAACAACAACAACAACAACAACGACGACGACAACAACAACAACGACAGCTGCAACAGCAGCAGCAGCAGCGGC